TCATTAACATATTTTTCAGACAGAACAATCTCCACTTTTAAAGCCTCTTCATTTAACTCAAACATCAAGTAATTTCTTCGTGGCCTTAATTATGCTAGGTGCTCTCTTTTCAAGAGTCATTTTCTATACATCTGTTCGGCAAATATTTATTGCACACCTACAGTGTGCCTGGCACTCTGCTATGTTCTCAGATATAATGTGTATCTCCATCAACATAGACTTAAATCCAGTGACCTATTAATACCTTTTGTAAAGAAGAAAAAAGATTTCATTCATTTGAGAAAGAGAGTGAACGGGAGGGAGAGCGAGTGAGAATCTGAAGCAGATTGACTCCGCACTGAGTGCAGAGCCGGAAGCAGGGCTTGATTCACAATTGCGAGATCATGACCTGAGCCAAAGCCAAGAGTCGGTTGATCAACCGACAGAGCCATCCGGGCTGCTCGGAAAAATTGTATTTTATGAGGATCAAAAAAGGAACATTTTCCATAAGGTACAGGAAGGAGGAGAATTAGCCCCCAAAGATAGATGTGGTCACATACTTGGTAGTCTTGGATTTGACCAAGTTTCCCATAATCCTTTCAAAATGTGGCATCCAAATTTTGAGCTAGTTCACTCTCTCTTTCTGGTGCACCTGTTAAGATATGTATTGAACCTTCTCATTTTTTGTCTCCTGACCTCTCATGTCTTGTCTCTTTGTCTCTGCTGCATTCCATGTGAGCACTTCTCCAACTGCAGATCTCGTTAGAATGCAGGTTCTGATTGAGTGGATGTGGGGCAGAGCCAGAAATTCTGTATTTTTTTTTGAACATTTTATTTATTTATTAGAGAGCATGAGTGGGGGGAGGGGCAGAGGGAATGGGAGAAGCATACTCCCTGCTGAGCATGGAGCCAATGCAGAGTTGGATCCCAGGACCCTGAGATCATGATCTGAGCCGAATGCAGACAGTTAATTGACTGAGCCACCCTGGCGCCCCAGAGATTCTGTATTTCTCACTAACTCCCAGGTGATGCTGATGCTGCCATTCTACAGATAACACTTTGAGAAGTATGATTCTGTGTGATTTCTTCAGATCTAACGCTACTTCACTAATTTTCTCTTTGGCTGTGTCTTATCTTCTATTTAATGCATTCAGGGAGTTTTAAACTTCAAATTCAATAACAATACTTTTCATTTTTGAGGTTCTGTTTGGTTCCTTTCAAATGTGTGTGGTCCTTTTTTCAGAGTATCCTATTCTTTTATTAGCGTTTCTACTTATTTACCTTGATAATAAATTAATTTTATGGCCCATTTTATTTTATTTGTTTATTTTTAATTTTTTTTAAAGATTTTTATTTATCTGAGAGAGAGAGAATGAGAGACAGCATGAGAGGGAGGAGGGTCAGAGGGAGAAGGAGACTCCCTGCCGAGCGGGGAGCCCGATGCGGGACTCGATCCGGGGACTCCAGGATCATGACCTGAGCCGAAGGCAGTCGCTTAACCAACCGAGCCACCCAGGCGCCCCTTTTATGGCCCATTTTAGATTGTTCTTTTATCTGCAGTTTTTGGAAGGCTAATTTTCCCATTTCTTGTATGTGATGATGGTCCTCCATGGTAGTTTGGGTGGCTTCTTTTTCCTTGTTATGTGTACTTGTTGGTATTTACTTTTTTTTGTGAATTCCTTTCTAGTAGGGCCTGTGTGTATGTGTGTGTGTCTGTTGGTTTGTCTGCCCCATGTGCCCTGGATTGTGAAAGTGCTTCCACAAGATGTTCTCCTTTTGTGTCTGCCAGTGCCCTAAGGACTCAGTGATCCTGGGCCAGTATTGATGTTAATTTCTTGTTTTTTTTTTTTTTAAGATTTTTTATTTATTTGACACAGAGAGAGAGATAGTCAGAGAGAGCGCACAAGCAGGGGGAGCGGCAGGCAGGCAGAGGGAGAGGGAGAAGCGGGCTCTCTGCTGAGCAAGGAGCCTGACGTGAGGCTCGATCCCAGGACCTTGGGATTATGACCTGAGCCGAAGGCAGATGCTTAACCGACTGAGCCATCCAGGCGCCCCAAATTTCTTGTTTTGTAGTTCCCACCCTATATAGGATACTATAAATGCAGACACCCTAGCTGGGATTACAGTTTTAATCGCCAGCCTGTTTCTTTCCCCCTAACGGGTCCTGGCCAAGGGTGAGCATCCTTGTCACTTTCTGGTGGGTAGAGAATTTCCAGTTTGTCCATTTCTTTTTGGCTTGAGGCTTTGTGGCTCTTTTCCTGCCCAAATATGGCCCTTATAAGTCCTTTTTTTTTTTTTTTAAGATTTATTTATTTTAGTGAGAGAGAGAGAGAGATTTTGAGTAGGGGGAGGGGCCGAGGGAGAGAATCTCAAGCAGACTCCCAGCTGAGTGCAGAGCCCAAGGCGGGGCTTGCTTTCATGTCCCTGAAATCAGGACCTGAGCTGAAATCAAGAGTCAGATGCTTAACCAACTGAACCACCCAGGTGCTCCTATAAGCCCTTTTTTTCAGACTTTACTGTTGTAGTCAACTGACTACCTGTCTAGAGGTTTATATTCCTGCCTTTTAATCCATCCTGTGACTATCTCACCTGTTACCAGCTGGTGTATTTCATGTTGATTTTTCCTTCCTTCTATTGAAGATTGGCCATTTTTCTAATCTCGACCATATGGGCTGGCTTTGAGCATGATGGAGTTTTCAAGAGAAATCTTATTTTATAGTACAGAATTTCTAAATCATAATTATTTCACAGAGGGTGGTTCCTACCCCTATATTAATCATACTTCTCACTCAGAAATGGGATTTTGTTTTAGTCTCCCAAAGATAAATTAGTATATAGTGGAAAGGGAATTAAACTTCTGCTAGAAATAAGATGATATGATAAACACAAACATCCACATGACTGTGTGCATGTTTTGAGCAGGGAAGAAGAATATTCAACACAGATTGGGCTGTATCTCACTAGCCTTCACCAATTGCAGGATCTGTCGTAAACATGAATCTCATGTGAGCAATAACAATAATAGGTGATTTTTGTGGAGTGTTTACTGTGTGCTAAGGAACATGCTAAGCACTTTATATAGATTTTGGTTTTCATTTAAACCTCCCAACAGCCCTTTGAGGAATTTATCTCTGTGTTGGAAATGAGGCTCAGAGAGGTTAAGTGACTTTCCCGAAGTCACAGAGCTGGTAAATGGTAGAGCTGGGATTTGAACCCACTCAGATTCCCAAGTAATGTGCCGTCAGTCATAACGCTTCCATATTTGTGTCATCTGTGAAACTGTATACATTTCCTCAGTCTTTATCTGAGTTTTTTGAGATGGAAAACTTCTCTTTCTGATCCTTATGAAATGTAATTTCCATTATTATTTTTTTTTCCTTAAAGAAAGTATTGGGTAATTGAAATCAGATTGGTTTGAGGCTCTGTTGTTGGAGGTACACACGGGATGTGGGCTGAAGCATTCAATGTAATTTTTCTTTCTATCAGCTAATTTTTAAAGTATTAAGCAAGTAGATTCTGATACTAACAGGGAAGATTTAAATTCTCTTGAGAGCTTGGAGGTGTTAAATAATTTCCTGGTAGTGCATTTTACGTTTTCAATCTCTTACCTCGTCTCAGTGCACTTGAAGCCCTGCGAATGCTCCTTTGCTCTTCCCAGGAGGAGCCAGACCTCCTCCTTGTGGCTTCCTTCCCTCCCCCACCACACCATCCCTTCACCTCTCCATTCATTCCCCAGCACTGCCGCTTCGATGTGGTTGTCACTGGGGTACTTTGCAAACAGCCAGATTCTTCTGAGTCTGTAAGCAGAAACCAGACTGCTGCTTCTATCTGGTGCACAGCTGCTTCAGAAAACAAGGAGTTAAAAAGGAAGCCTGGACTGTGACCGGCCGTGACAAGGGTCCTAGGGGGCGCTGTAGCGAGCTCCGGCAGTGAGTCATGCTGCTCTGTCACTTGGATCAGCACTGGCCCCTGCCACGCAGGCGGCCAGGTGGGGTTCCAGCCAGAGCACGCACAGAGTGGGGAGCATGAAGCCTGCACTGCGGGGGCTGTGATGCCCGGCTCGCCAACTCAGCTGGCCGGCTTGCCACAGACGCCTCAGCCTGCAGCCATGGTAACGCTTCTAACCCGCTACACCCCCTGGAGCCCACCACAATGGGCAGCCGCCTGGTGACTGATGGCCGAGTGTCCCCCTCCCTGACCAAGAGAGCTTAGTAGGTCTGCAGAAAGTGGAGAAGATGTAAGATGCCCCTAGCCTGGAGTCATGCCTTAACGAGGTAGGACGCAGACGTCCATCGGTGCATTTACACCGTCAGCGGGCAGGGGTGCTGTAAATCATCAGGAAGAACTTTATTTGGCTGGTGTTTCATTATGCTGATTAAACTGCGGTGGATTTGGGTGGCATGATTGAGGTGGGGAGGAGGGATAATGAACTAAAAAAAAAAAAAAGTGGTTGATAAGAGCTCTGAGCACTCTCCTCTGGCTATGAATGAGCTAGACTGCAGTGCTATCCTAACGTGAGTTACATGCCTCCCCGGTCCTTTTTCCTGCTCCTTCCTCTCATTTCACTGCATGAAATGTAGAAATGCCATCTTATTTCAATGATTAACATTAAATATTGATGATTTAGAGCTGTCCAGAGGAAGAAATACATAGGTGTGGGGTTGGCTGGCGTGCTGGCACTAGCCAGCCTGATGCTCTGTTGAAGCGTTCTGGAAATATCCGGAATGAACAGCCGGCTCCCATGAGTTCCCCAAAGTGCTTTTGTTCCACCAAGTGACCTGTTTGAGTTTCTCCTTCAGTTTACCCCCCCCCACCCCCCCTCGGGGAAGGCAGCCTGTCTGCCGGCTGGTGGCCATGTTGGCAGAGAAGGGGTTAATCTCTTGTTGCTGTCAGAGCCAAGGCTGGGTCTGCCTGTGTGAGCTAGTCGCTGCAGTGCTGAAGGAGCAAGACGATTTTCTCCGCAACAGTGTTGAATCCGTCTGAATTTTTCTCTCCCTCTCTTCTTGTTTTTCTTTAACCAGCTCCTCCCCCCTTCGTTCCCACCCTCAAGTCTGATGATGACACCTCCAATTTTGATGAACCAGAGAAGAATTCGGGGGTTTCATCCTCTTTGTGCCAGCTGAACCTCTCAGGTTTCTCGGGTGAAGAACTGCCGTTCGTGGGGTTTTCGTATAGCAAGGCACTGGGGATTCTTGGTAGATCTGAGTAAGTGAAAATTTGACTTTCTAAGGACCGGTACTGATGTGAGGCATACAGAGCCCAAAGGTGGTGGTGGTGGGGGTGGTGGGGGGAGTGCAGGGAAGGGAAGCTGTTAATCAGCCTGCTTTTGGGAAGCAATTTACCTGTCAGGGCTTTGGTGGGTAGACTGTTCATATTCCCATTTTGCTGTGTTTAAGGTTCCTCTTCCTGTCCCTAGCATCATAATTGTCCATTGGGTACTTTGGGTTAGTTTTTCAGTGTTTGGTCTTCTTTAGAGGGGAGGAAATAGTGGGGGATATCTGGCAGTGCAGATCCTTGGTGGAAGGAGAAACGTGCAGGGTTCAAATGAGCCGTCCATCTATTTATCCATCTGTGTATCCATCTCTCAGGTGGGTGGAAGGAGGTTGCTATCTTGGCTGTATTGAATGAAATCTCATAAGCTAAAGGTTTCCTGATGGGCTTAGCTGAGCTGCAAGTGGCTGTACCAGAGCTCTAACAGATAGATGGTGCTCGGCTCCGCTCGAAGTCTGCTGCAAGATCAGGGATCTGGCAGCTGAGCTTCTCTGAGCTGGCGGAGCGCTGGTGGCCAGTGAGAGCCCTGTTACCGGGAGCCACCGGGAGGGAGTGTGATGTAGCCGAGTCATTGATTCACAGAAACTGGGCTTCACAGGGAAAACAAACAAACCAGGAGACTAGAAAATGGAAGTATAAACATCACTGTAAGCCTCTTAACATGACAGGTCTTTTCTCCGTTCTTGAAAAAGCTCATGAAAAATGCATTCGCACGGCACCTGGGACTGGAGGGTCCTGGCTTCCAGCCTCCGGGAATTTCTGTAAAATGCAGTAGCTTCTGTGGATGTAGGAGCTCAGTGTCTTGCTTCGTTCTGTGATCCCATGACATGCTGCGTTCAGAGACTCGGGTTCCCCGGGAAGGTCTTGGACTAGCTGTGTTATTCCACTGATGCCCTGGCTTTCTCACTTGGAGGCTCTCTGGGTAGCATTAGGTAATTAGTTGCTGCCCACTTAGGAGACAAGCAGAATTTGATTTTCTCCTTGGCAGCGTCCATTCCTGATTTGTTGTGCTTGTAGTTCAGAGATCGATTTGAAGGCATGCGTTGGTTCTTGGATGGTGTCTCCCCATGGGTTCCTCAAAAGATTTCAGAACATCATGGGGGAACTGGGCACTTGAGATGAAATAGGGTTGTGGGCTGTGATTGCATGGGAGAGAGATTTTTATGTTGAAAGATGCTGAGGTGGTCCTACTTTCCTTCTTCCCTGGGCTCTGGGTTTAATATCCAGGGTTGCATTTTGGTAGCGTTGGCAGTGCCTTTCTGGCTCATTTGCTTTGCAACTCCAAAAACAATCTGGATGGTAGGAGTGCAGGCAGAGAGCTAACTAGCTGTTGAATGTGCCATCAGATGATTTGAAATGGCCCAGCAGGGCATTTGGAGAGCAGGGCAGAAGTGGAGGCCTGACGCTAAAGGATGCGTGGTTGGTGGGCAGCTTAATGTGGACACGCGCAGCACACTGAAGGTCACACATCAGACTGGAGGGAGGTGTGTGGAGAGTTCCAGTTCTGGCTAGCAGTGGGCTGGCCGGCTCAGAATGAAAGCTTGCTTGGGGTGCTAGTGATCTGAAAAACTAGGGAGGACTTGAGGGAATTCGATTTTCGGGGCAAAGGCAGAATGCTGTGGGGGATCTTAGGCATTGCAATTAATCTGAAGCAGTGTGTGATTAATGGCTTATCATTTAGCAAGCCTGAAATTGCATCTGCCCTTCACAGAAAGCTCAGTTAAGGAAGCTCTCTGACGGGGGGCAGGGGGGGTTGTCGGGGAACGGGACGACATCTTAGTCTTAAGGCCCAGGCACTCAATAAATATTTGTTGATTGTGTTTGTACTGCTCATTGTATTTGAAGATAGGCTATTTCACCTTTGATAGTTCACAATACCTCTCTAGAGCATAACACGAGCGTCTGTTCATGCCCCAACAGAATGCTTAATAAGATTCTCATAAAAAAAAAAGTCCATGCAAACAAAAGCGTGTATTTCTTCCCTGGAAGATGGGATTGGAGTATTCCTGCCTTTGGGGAACTTTAATGTCTTTGCCATTGCAGTTTGGGGTTGGAATCAGAAAGATATTCTTTCATCTCGTGTCTTTGAATGTGATCTTGCCGTCGGGTTTGGCTTTTTGGTCCAGAGGCAGCCCTGTGGGTGAAACCTACAGCATCCTTATAGAAATCCACTCCACCTGTTGGATGCAAGTGACCCTGGACCGATTGTGTTATCATTATTTAGAAATTCAATAAAAGATGCAATGATGAAATTAATCAGAAGCCCCTGCAGTGCTGCGGACATATAGACAAAATTCATTTAGAGGTGGGAGGAGGCATTTTCTGGGGGTCCCACCGCTGCCACCGGGGACCTGCTGTTTCTTCCCGAGCATCTCCTTCTCCCCTCCCCATTGTCAGCATCACGGGTTTTTATTTACAGGGATTACCTGTGCCATTACTCACTCTTCACACCACCTAGGAGATTGCAGATGCTGTGGTGCTGTGCTGGGGAAATTGACCCCAGATCTGTTCCAGTGAATTGAATGAAATGTTCAGAGGTGATGCTGAATGAATGAGGAGTTTTCACGGAGGCTCTGGTAGTGAGAATGATTTTAATTGTGATCGTTGGTTGCTTTTTAGGATCCTTTTTTGGGACCCCAGACAGTTTTTAAGCCCGCCATGGAGCGCATCATTATTTTAAGCTTAGCAAGAATCTTGATCTCAGCATTCTGTGTCTGAAGTATCGTGGGCGTTCCTTGCAGCTTGAGTTGGAGGGAGCAGGAGAGATTCGACAGGACCGGTTTTGGTTGTCTTTGGGGTGGGATTCTGGCAAAGCTGGTGCTGGAAAGTGAGGGAGTGTCTGTCTCGTGCCTCTTTTTTTTTAACTGCCAATAACCCAGGCCACATCCCCAAGCTCTGGAGGCTTGGGTGTTTCTCTGAGCCTCTGTTTCCTTGAATTTTACAATATGTTAAAGATGTATGTTAAAGGTTTAAAAATAAAATGGATCCCAGTTCTCTTTCCTCCCTTGTCAGCAGGGGTACATTTCTTTAGGTCCCTTCTTCCTCTTAGATTGGAGATACTGTCTCATTTAAGCCCTAGTTGAAACTGTGCACTTCTGCAAACCTTCAGTATAAACTCTAGAAGGAAAAAACCAGTTGGTTTTATATTTTGTGCTAGTTTTACACATGCTGGTTTGATGCTTTTGGAGAACTTGGAAATCTTGGAGGAGCAAAGAGATCTCGATGAGGCTGGAATCTGTGGGATGCCAGTGTCTGAATAGGTGGTTTTTAGGAAGGGGGGGGCTCTCTCTTCCTTTTGGCTCAGGGCTCTTTCCTTTCCTTCTGGGTGATTGGAAGTTTCATTTTGGAGCCAGCCATCTAAACACGGTGGAGGAATGAAAAATGGCTTCCACCCTTGCCTTCCCAGATTTTCAGGGAACCAGTTTTTGGTACCTCTTCCTTGCTCTTTCGGCACTTCTTTGCATGCCTGTTTCCTCAACTGCAAAGTGGTGGGGGGAGGTAAAGATCCCTTCCTCTTAGGGCTTTCGGGAGGATTGTATGAAACCCATAAAGCACTTGATCTAGTACTTGGCACATGGAAGAGTCTCAGTAAATGTTCACTGTTATTATTTTTGTTATTGCTAGTTTGCTGGTCTGTATGTGCATAGTGTTCCTCTGTTTATACCAAGAGGATATAAAGGAACTCAGCAATAATTAGGTAGTCTAGTCGTGCCAGAGCAGAAACAGCCTCCCAGGTCCTGGGAATTTTCTGCTAGAGAAGCTTAAACATCCTGACCAACCACAAGTTAATATGCAGTTGCTAGCTACCTGCAGGTAAAAGGTGGTTGTGGGGATGGAGTGGGTTGGGGGACAGAATTAGAAGGCCCAGTCCCAGAATGGGTGCCCTTTCATCAAGTTGAACAAGTCAAGGCATATATGTGTGAAACAGTCCAGAGGACACAGAGCAAACACCTTTCCTGCAGAACATCATGGTACAAAGGGGATATCTGACTGCTGTAGGAATCAGGAGAGGAAGAAGGCAGCCTCCCTTGTGGGGGACACTTCATGGGTAATGCCAGTTCACAGTTCTTGCCAAGTTACAGTGATGATCTTCGTTGGAATGTCTTTCCATTTCCCCAAGTCGGCCGTGATCTCAAGAGCAGGGCTGGCTCTGATTCATCCTGGTTCCCTTGGAGTGCAAGGCATGGTAGACCCTCAGTAAATACCTGTGTTGGAGACTGAGTGTGTTAGCACACTAATGGGAGGTGAAATGTTTGGCTTTTTAGAAGACGATGGATTTGGATGAGGGGAGAGATATGTAGAGAGCATTTCATGTAGGTTCAAGTGGTGACAACAGCTCGTCCATACAGGACACCAACTCTGGACCAGGCTCTGTTCTAAGCACTTTACACAGATTAACTCATTTAAATTGCACAATGGCCCACAAGGAAGGTAGTGTCGTTATTCCTCTCTTACATGTAAGGAAACCGAGACACGGAGAGGCTGAGCAACTTCCCCAAGGTCATGCAGCCCTGAGCAGCTCGGCCAGAAGTGGAACCCAGACAATGTGGCAGCTCAAGAGTCTGTTAGCCACTGTGCTATGCTGCCAGGTATGAATGCTGTTGACAGGAGAAATTAGGGGATTTGTGGGGTCCCCAGGTTCACATGCTTGTTGGAAGTAGAGGTCCATTGTGGGGCATGATGAGCAGTGGCATTGGGGCAGGGTGGGATGAGAGCTGACAGGCCGTCTAATTGCTGGGTTTTGTTTTCAATCTCTGCAAGTTTTTTGACTATGTAGACTAGCTCTTGCATTTTTTATAAAAATTTTTTCCTCCTCTCATTTGGAGACTCTTTCCTGGTGTGTGTGTGTGTATGTGATAAACACATGCATATATACTCTCTCCTGGAAAGTTCTTTGCTTGAGTGTAAGCTTGGTGAGCTGAGGGAACTGTGTT